ATTTGTTTATTTATTTATTTATTTATTTATTTCGCTTTGCTTACCCTATCGAGGGAAATAACACGAGGTCGCCCTGAGGTTAGAGACTTACCCGACCTCTCTCTCGCTCCCTTTCTGTCGTCGTCTTCAACGTTGTTATCGCCGGCAGTCGGTCGTCGCTGTCGTTGTCCGTCCGCACGTTCAGGTATGTAGTCTTCCCTTCTCTCTTTCTCCTTCCTCCCTTCCTACTTTTTTTCTCCTTCCTCTCCTCTTCTTCCTCTTCTTCTTCTTCTTCTTCTTCTTCTTCTTCTTCCCCTTTATACTCCTGTTTTCCCTCTCTGCTTGCTGTTTCCTTTTTCCTGCCGTCCTCCTTTCCTATTGCTGTTTCTATTAGTTGCGCGGTTTCTTCTCCCACTACAAAGCCTTCTCCCCTCTCGTTGTCCGAACTCTCGCTTGCCAGTATGCTCGTATGTTTTGCTTGCTCGCATGTTCATTCATTCGCACGCCCACGGGTATTGCTTGCTTGTGCGTTTGTATGTTCACTCCTTCCCTCTACCTATGTTTGAGTTTGTCCGGTATTGCTGTGCTTTGGTTCTCAACACTTGCTCGAAGTGCTCCCGACTCGGCCCTCGCGGGTACCCGGGCCTCTACCACTTAGTTTGAAGAATCTGCCTTTTCAATCGAGGCAGATTCATTTACTGAATAATCTTAAAGAAAATAAGAAATAATAATAATAATAATAATAATAATAATAATAACAATAATAATAATAATAATTATATATATATATATATATACTTCGAATGAATCTAACTGTGTTCGTGATTAGCATACAGGTAAAAGTGGTTGGAGATTGCTGCTACATGCCCCTGAGTTTTCAGGTAAGTGTACGTTTGGGTTCCTTCTCCCAACTACCCTCGAATCCTCCTTGGAACTCTGGTAGGATACGGAAAAACAACGAATTTTAATATATCTTAAAAAAAAGAAAAATAAAAAATTTTAACCGAATTCCGTTCGTTTGCTCCCAGTACGTGCACCTGTCGGATTCCTGGCATATGCAGGAGCCTAAATCTTCCCTGCCCCAACCACTTCTAACTCGTAGGTCGTGAGTTCGAATCCCACCAACTTGAACACGGTCTAAACAGGGGTCGGGCGGAACGAGGTAGCTTAAAAAAAAAGGCTAGTCCATGAGTCAGGAAGGATTCGTTCCCTAAACCTGTCGCATACAATCCCGCACCTATACCTATTGGGCTAGCGCCTAGTTTAGTTAGATTAAGAGCAATCTCACTATTAGTCGAGTAAAGGCTGACTCTGCCGGTATAACAGACACACGGCCTGCCTTCCGTGGTCAGCAGGCTGATATGGCCGTTGTCGCAAAGCGTGGTAAGCGGTACGGTCTTCTTGGATGCCCTGGCCGTATGGTCGGGGCTTATACTATTTTGCTCGAGCCCTCCTTTATTGAGCTCATGGCAGAGCGATCCGCTAGTTCCTTTATACTAACTGTTCTGACATCCGCGGTCGTCGAGTGAACTAACTCTATTGATCATGTCGTCTCAGTTCCCGACTAACTTGGAGTGAAGTCGTCACTTCTTGCGCGACTTTTTCCCTTTCGATTAACCGTCCGTTCATTTTTGTGGTTGGAGGTTTAACTTACTAACCCTCTTTTAGTCTATGCATGGGTCAGAGTGGCACGTGTGGTCACTCAAACTTTAATCCCCTAATCTTTTATGTCCCCTTATCTGCCGGGACAGGGCGGGCGAGCATTCAAAAAAATTTAACCATCGACTCTAGTCTGTGCGCGCGGTGTTTTCGGCGCTTGCGTTGACAAAACTTTCTCGACCATAGCGGTCGAGGGATTTGCCTCATTTCCCGTTTTAGCCGTCTTCAGTCTGTCTATTGATGCCGACGTTGTGTCGACTACAAAATCATGAGCGGATACCTTTGTAAGGGTATAGGCTTCGACAGTTTTCCCATACCACATTAAGCGACGTCCCCGTCGCTGGGGAATCTATATGCAAAGAAAGGCCTTCTGACGCGTCAAGTAGTCAAAATCTGATCCCCTGAATGAAGTTGCAGTTTGGAGACCCTCACTGTCCCCCTGGATGCATCCATACTGCCAGAATTTTAACCAAGGCTTCCCACATATCCAAAATGACAATTCCCAAGAAAAGATTATTGCATAAACCCCAAGTGGGCATACTGGATCTGTATTACGGCTGCGGAGGTCACCAAGGAAGACAATGATAGCTCCTCCCCCCAACTTTAGACTTTATTGTCGGGATCTCGTTGGGTGTCCGAGGAGTTAGGGATCAAAAACCGAATCCCACTCTTTAGACGCGGGTCTTGACCTAAGTCAGATTTGACCGTCCCACCCGAAGTCTAATGCGAGGGGATCGGCGACCTTAGCCTCAACCCACCACAGCCGGTTGATCAGACCGAAACTGTGGCCCACCGCGTTTGTTATTTTTAGCGATGGTTCTCGTATTGATTACGCAATATCGGGTAGAAATCTCCTATCATTCTAGACCTGACTCTTGATCCCGCCGATATCTACCTGAACCAATTCCATCATTAAGGAGGCCCCCTCTCAGGTTTCGGTCCTAGGCCGTAATCGGAAGGCCCGCTGCCTGGTTATACTTGGTCAGCAGCCCACGCTGGGAGTTACGTCCCAACGATGTCAATTTTCTACCATAGGCTTGGTGATTTTCAAGTCCCTCAGACTGATCACCTAGAGTGGATGAACGATGATCATTTCATATATAAAAAACAATTTGACCAAAGAATCCCCTCGTCAGTTTGGATGAATGAACCTTTTTAAAAATATATATAAAGAAAATTTAACCAATAAAAATGATATATCATGATTGTCATACGTCACTGAACGAGGGGCATCGTCAGAGCCACTTAGGGTTCGTGTTGTCCAAACCTCGATCACAGGCCGGACAGACACACGTATCGGGAATCTTCAACCAACAGTAAAAGTCAACCAAATATCCATAAAAAAATATAAAAAGTACTTGTTTGACTCCTCGTCTTGTCAGAAGGCAGAAAAAGAACAACCATTCCATTCATAACATACAGTTCCCTGACTCACAGGGTTTCTCAAATGCATCAAAGCTTTTAATTTTTGCGCATTCCCTTTTTAGGGTTTTTCTCAACAATAATAACATAAGACAAAGCATGGAAGAATGATCAACAATGTGAAAGCACATTCAGACCGTACATGTCACATTTTACTTTAAATTTCTTGAACACTTAGGTGCTTTTGTGAGCATCCTAGTTCAAAACTTGATACAGCTCATACAGACTTTAAAGATACACATTCCATCAAAACAAGACCAAACACTGTACCAACTCAGATGTGAAAGTGAAAGTGTCTCTCGTCGGTATACCCCCATAAATAAATTTAATAATATATGACTCAAGAGAAGGAAGACAAGGAAAAAATGGTCTCCCTCCTAAAAAAAAAGAGAAAAAAAAAAATGATGGATGAAGTACGAGTCACATGTCTCTTTGTCACTACTCACTAAAGCACATATGCCGAGCTAACTCTATATCAAAGCAAAGATTTCAGAACTTGCTGCCTTTTTTCTACTGCTAAAGCACATCACTATGTCCCAAGAGAAGAGACTTTACCTACTTTACACTTCCTACCCATAGTGTACAAAGTCTTGCTAAGAAAAAGAAGCATGAATCATAGAAGGTCAAGACACATACTTTCACCTTAGTCCACCATGCTAAGGTTCAACTGTCTATACAGTTGACCCCTGAACCCGTCCTTGGCCTTCTTAACAACGTTCCCAACCTTGTTAATGAACATCTTGTTTTCATCCAGCTTTACCAAACTATTTTCCTCATCAAACTTAAACCCTCGGCATTCTTCCCTCATATGCATCCCTTTCATGCAATACCAACACAACTTTCTGCCCTTACTCCTTGGCTTTTTGGCAGAATGACATGGAATCGCTACCTCCTTCTCTCCACCTGCTTCCACCATCTCAGAACAACGTCTATTTTTTCCATTCCTGGGTTCACCTCCATAAGAAGACTTTGTAACAGTGTCAGATGTCAGTATCTCAACCAACTTGTTAGCAGAAGTTGGAATGACAGTAGGTTGATCGTTGTTCTCCCTTCCTTGTCCCAATACTTCTCTGCTTACTCCCCGTGGACCTTGTCCTGGTGCATGAGGTGTCCCTGTCACACTCCTGATCTCAAATCTCAGTTCATCGTTTCATTCAACTATTTTCGTAGGCATCTCTGCTCCTCCTTCTTGACTAACCTTTCTGAGAGCCCCCATCTCCTTTTCCTGCTTATTAACCTTCCCTTCCAACCTGCCAACTTCCTTCTCCAACTTTTCTCGTTCAACCCTTTTTTTTTCCACTTCCTTGTTCTTATTATCCAAGGCAATGTTCAAAGACTCTACTTGCTTCTTAAGTTTTTGTTGCTCTTCCTTTACCTTGTTCATTTAAGCCCTCATGCTTTCCACTCCTTTTCCCATCTTTTCCGCCTGTGCATCCCTGCTTTCTTCCCTTTTTCTCAATCTCTGGATCTCCCTTAGGATTTCAGGGATGTGACTTGCTACTCCCTGTGTGAGTAATTCCTCCTTTTCTTTTACCCTTTCTTGGAGCTCTCTAATCGAAACCTCCACCTTTTCATCCTCGTCATTCTCTCTCTGGCTCCTTCCTGCTCCCTCTTATTTCTCGGCTACCTCGGCTCCTCCTTCAAGGAGCCACTCACAGTCATCTCGAAGTAGCTCATGCAACCGGATCAGCTTGTCCAGGTCCGATCGTAGCTTAGAGCTCCTGATTGATTCAATTAACAAGATCCTCTCAATCTTCTCACTCCAAGGGGCATCTGCAGGCAAGTCATCTTCCTTCATTGATGCAACCATTTTGTCCCTCCATTCCTTATTTTCTCCCTCTCTCTTTTCTCTCTCTTCCTTTGTCATCCTCCTTGATCCTGGTTCCCTGAGAGAATTCTCAGCGGCCGCCATTTCAGTCTCCTTTTATGTTTGATCCCTTTCTTCCTCCTCTCCTTCATTCTCCTTCGCGCCCTCTTTCCCCTTTGCTATTTTCTCCACTTCCTTCATCCTTCTTTCTCACTCATCATATCCGATTCTTTTTCTCCTTTTTCTTCCCTCTCCTTCTTCTCTTCCGTGCTCTCTTTTTCTCTTGCTACCTCCTCCACTTCCTTCTTCCCTTCTTCTCTCAACATGTCTTGTTCCCTCTCTCCCTTTACTTCTTCCTTGCTTTGCTTCTTCTCCTTGCCTCTTCTCTTCTCTTGCATTCTTGCGGTCCTGCTTGCTGATCCACCTCGCTTCTGAATTGTTGTCCTTTTCCTGACAAGCATCTGCTTGGGGGGCACATCATCTTGGTCAATTTCTTGTCGAACTTTCTTTTCCAGCTTGTCTGCTCTCCTTCCGATCCACAATCCCTGCTCCTGAAGTAATTGTCTCTTCTTCTGTCTTTGTATGACCAGAGTGTAGGTTCTTCTGAATTTGACAAGAAACCCTCCCCAGGTATCTGACTCCTCATTGATCTTACTCATGCTCTCATATTCCCTGGGGTCCACCCTCGCCATTACCTGTTTCAACTTCTCCTCCTCCTTCCATCCTTTCTTCTCAACACACAGAGCAATGTTGTCCTCAAAATCTCCCACATTGGTCTCATCGAAGATGATATCATTCTCGATCTCGTCTCTCCTCAAATCCCCATATTCATCCCACATTTCAGTCTTGAATGTCATCCACCCCAGACAGTCGGTGGTAATCTCTCCAATCTTCAATTGACACTCCCCCACTCCATTTACTTTGGACAATATGGTTGGGGTATCCCACTCCCTCCTGAATGCATGGTCCTCGAACTCCCTCAGAAACATCCTCAAATTGTCCCCCTTCTTGTAGATCGACATTCCATCTGCGTCCCTGGTTACCCGTCATAATTCCTGTCGCCGTTCCCTGCCAGAAGCTGGCTTGGAAGGCCCCGCAATCCCTCCCTTCCGTGTCATTGCCGCTCCTTTTACAGGATTAAGCCTGCACACAGAAAAAAGGCGAGGAAAATGGCAGGTGGAACAGGGTGTCAGCAGTCGGGTAACAATATCAGGTTCGCAAACGATGCAATCACAAGAGTTTTTAAGGAGGATTGAATTGACTTATTTTTAGGTTATTGACTCACCTCATCTCTTGTCCTGAATTTTTTCAACCTGGGTCCAGAAACTCAGTCTCGCCTTGGCGTTCCATCCATTTCCTCCTGCTCATACGCCCCATGATTCCCTTGACGTCGAACCTTGTATGGTCCCAACCCTCTCTTATCTAGTTTTCTTGACCATTGTTTCTCCAGGGACGAGTCATACAACAGTACCACGTCCCCGACTGCCAATGGCTCAGTTCGTACGCGAGGAAGCCGGTCCCATCTTTCCTTGTTTTTTCCCCGACTGTCAACCACTTTCACGACTGTTTCCTGAACCCTTTCCTCTGTAACACTGACCTGTCTGACTCGGATGTCAAGCAATTCCTCAAGCGGCAGGTCGTTTTCAAGATCCTGCCTCCGCCAGGTCCTTAGGAAGCTTTCTATTGGGAAAGTGGCGTGTCGTCCATACCATAGGGTTGCAGGAGCGTACCCTGTGGTCCTCCTGACAGTTATGTTTTCGACGAAGAATACAGTCCGTAGGAACTTAGGCCACAAATTTGGCTTCCCCGCTGTCCATTTTGTCAGTAAGTTCATGATGGTGCTGTGCCCTCTTTCCACCGGTGCGTTAGCCTGAGGAGGTGCCCTGGTGGTATACTTGGCGATTACTCCGAGTTCATGCAATAACTCTTTAACCTCCCCACACGTGAACTCCGACCCTCTATCCATTGTGAATTCTACCATGAAAGGATAACGGAGGTAATATTCTCTGATACATTCGGCCAAGACCGCCCCAGTCTTGGTCCTGATGGTCTTTCCATCAACAAATCTCGTGAGGTTGTCTCTAGCATCAAAGATGTAATTATACCCGCCGAGTCTCAGCGGCATTGCTAACAAATCCAAGTGGACAACAGCCCCAACTTCCTTGATATACCTCGGGTGAAGAGGTTCTTTATACCTGATCGGCGATCTGACTTGGCACGGCACGCATGATTCGCAGTACTTTCTAGCCATCTCGTACATTCCTTCCCAAAAGTAGAGCTCCGTCACCTTTTTTAGAGAAGCGGCAAAACCCCTGTGACCTCCAACAGGCCCGTCGTGGAGGGCAGCTATGACATCAATCTGTCGATTCCTACCAGAGATAACTCTCTTAGGTGGTCCTCTTTTATCCCTGATGAAGAGATGACCACCCCTTACCACATAATAGTCCCTCATGCGGAGAGTTCTCTCACCAACTTTCATTTCTCGCTTGTCGCCGGAGAGAAGAAGTCTCATTTCCAAATGGAATTCATCGTACTCTTCTTCTCGGAAATCTTTTGAGATTTCGCCTTGCTCAAACTCCTCTCCCTCCTTTCCTCATCAAATTCATAGTCATCTCCCAATATTATCTCATCCGCCTTTACCGTCTCTCTTTCTTCTTCGGTCTGGACTTGTAGGAGAGAGTTCACAAGGTAATGCACTCTCCCTACCGTTAGTAAATGTCGATTCACCTGTCCTGTTCCTGCCTCAATTATGACCGACTCTTTTGTCAATCTGTAACTCTCAGCGAAACCTAACTCTGCCATCCATTCCCTATTCCTTTCTCCCTACGGGTCCTCTTCGATGAAAGGCTTTAATACCAACCTTTCATCCTTTACACAGGCTGCGGGTGCGAACCACATGGGCCTTCCTTCTCTCACCCCTTCGTGATCGACCCTTAAGATTCATGCGTTAACGTGGAGCTGCATGTCATCTTCTTCCAAGAATCCGTCTACCGGTGGCGTCTCTTCCTTAGCTTCCCCACCCATTCTATCCTGCTCAACCCATCTGCTCTGTTCTTACTCCCAGGAATGTGCTCAATCTGAAAGTCAAACATCCAGATGTAGGTGAGTCATCTGGCAACTATAGGATCAGCTGGAGATAAGTTCCTAAGGGAATACATGAGGGTCGTTGGATCTACTCTTAAAATAAATCTTCTCTCAAAGAGATAATGTCTGAAGATCCTTAGGCAGTGTAATACTGTCAAGGCCTCCTTCTTGAATTGGGAGTAATTCCTTTCAGTTGAATTGAGAGTTTGACTCTCGAAGCGCAACGGTCTTTCCTTACCCTCATGATCCGCCTGTATCAAGACTCCTCCCAAGGCAGTGGGTCCGGCACCGTTTTTTATTATGAAGGGGCGTTCTAAGATCGCCTCGTATTCCGTAACTCTCAGTACCAAACCTCCTTCCTCAAATTTCTTCTTCAAGTTTTTTACCACCTGCTCCTGCTTCTCTCCCCATTCCCATTCCTGGTTCTTTCTCACTAACTTCCTCACGTGTTCAGTCTTAGCGGCAAACCTCTTGATAAATATTATCCAGAACCCACATGTCTCAAAAAAATATCTCACCTCACCTATATTCTTGAATGGTGTCGGCCACTCAAGAATTTTGTTTGTTTCCTTGGTATCCGGACGACGACCCCGTTCGTTACACACAAACCCAAGAATGGTCGCCTCTCTCATGCAATGTCTGGATTTAGCGCCACTTGTCGTGAGGTTGTGCTCCTGAAGGAGATCGAACACATTTATGAGATCATCAACATGATCCCAGACGAACTTTTGAATCTCAGGTGCCACCTCTTGTTCATCCTTTATCATTGGTCCCTTCACCGCTAGATCATCGATATAGGGTTCTGTGATCTGTGGACTAATCGGCTCCAAAGCTCTGACCATACTCCTTTGAACCATGACTACAACATTCGTCCACACCTGAGGTGCTACATTCATGTGGATTAGTCCCCTAGGAGTATGCATTGCAGTTATTGGCCTATCTGCCGGGTAGACAGGGAACTGGTCATAACCAGAGTAGAGGTCTATAAGAGAAATGATAGACCTTCCAGCACACGCTTCGGAGAGCTGATCAGCGTTAGGGAGCCCTCCAACATCCCTAACAGTCACGACATTCAACCTTTGCAAGTCCTGCACCCATCTGAGTACCCCATTCGGCTTAATAAAGCAGAACCATGGTGAAGCATATGGCCCACTAGAAAACCCTGCCACGTGTGAGTCAATCTTCCCATCGAGGTACTCCACCACTCTCTTCTGATCATCAGGATTCGGGTACTTGGCCCCTCTAACGTTCCAAGGCTGATGCGCGACCGTATGGATCCTGATCATCCCCACCTTGTCCACAACTAACCTCCCTCTCTGATCATCATTAAAGACATAGGCGCAATGTTTCTCCTTCATTAATCCTATCACCTATGTCATTTCTTGCTCAGTCAGAAACCCGGTTTCCCCGATAATCAGGTCATTTTCCGTCTCCTCATTGATACGACATGCCTCTTCATCCCATTTTTTTTTCATTTGCCTTATCAACTCTCTCTCTCTTGCTCATAATACACACTCTCTTCGTGTGTTACTAGCGTTGGGACCGGATGACTTTTCTTATCTACTGTCTTGTACCTCCTTTTGCCTCCTTGCTTGAGCCTACTTCTAAAAAATGCTGACCGCTTGATTGGGCATAAGGTCCCTGCATCTTTACATCTCGCAGTGGTGGCCTATACACCAATTTCATTCTTCCTCCTTCAGGATACTCGCCCAGTCTGTCGGGCAAGGCCATGATGGCTTCTTGGTCGACCATCTCATAGGTTAAGACCATGCACATCGCTTGGTCTATATTAGCCAAGCTCAGAACTAGTCCCTCGTCTTCTTCATCCTCATCTTCCTCACCTGATCTCCACTCTAATTCCCTTCTCTTGTCTTTAGATTCTTCAAACGTGTAGGATCCGGCGTTGAGACGGTTCTTTGAACAGTGGGGTCCCGTGTTTGCACATGTGAGTACCTCGAAATTCCTACACACCGGGACGCACAATATGCATACATAGTTCCATCATGTTTATTTATGAGGACTGTTTCTGACCTCGACAGAAAGGACCTTCCCAATAATATAGGAAGATCCAGACTAGGCATGATATAAAAACAGGAACGGATCTTAATCCGTCCTACTTCCATGATGACGTTCGAGGCGACACATGTATAGCCTGACTTCCCACTGACCCCATTGAGATACCCGAAGTCGCTCTTATCAATCTCTAACCCCAGCCTTTCAGCTGTTTCCGAATTCATAATGTTCATTTCCGCTCCTGTATCTAACATCCCTGGGCACCTTCTTCCTCTGATATTAACTTCGATAGAACCTGTCCCTACGGACTTCTAATCCATTTCACTCCCAGCTATGGTCCAGTTCGCCTCCTTGGGAATCAAATCCCCCAATCTTACCGTTGCCACTCTTTTTCTCGCCAACTTCGCTTTGACTTACTCTCGGAGCTTTGGAGCCGTTGTCAAAATCTCCTTTAAATTTAACTGCTCGTTATGACCGTCAAGAAGTTTGTTCACCAAATTCTCTAGGTCTACTCCCTCTTCGACAGACGTTTGATAATTTCACTTTTTCTTGGACTTTTCTCCGACCTTTTCTTTTCTTTCCTTACCCCCCTGTTTCCGCTTCTTGGCTCTCTGCTCAGCCTTCTTATCCTTTTCTTCCCTCAGCTGCTCATCCTGATCTTCCTCCTCCTCGCCTATATCGATAGAGGGCTCACTCGGAGGAGGAGGTGGTAGAGCCTGCTCCTGCTCCTTGGTTGAATTGCCTCCTTTTGCCCGACGAGCGGTATGTGGCACAAAATTTCTAAGGGCTTGGTAAACCGCTTCAGATCCTGCAGCCAAGCTAGCCCTTCAAGTTAACGCCCTCGGATTTGGTCGGGGACCCTCGCCTCGATTCATTGTAAATACGTGCGGGGTTCTTAACTCCATAATTTTTACTTCCTCACATATACCCATGAT